ATAGGGTCACTATGAGTCATGCTCAACTCAGAGGCAAGCAACAACAACAAGGGATAGTTGTTTTCTTTTGTACAAGTGTGTTTGCTGTTGTTGTTGTTGTTATGTGTTGTCACGTTGTCTGTGACTCATAGTGACCCTATGGGCAGCAACTCTGAAGCCTGCCCTACCCTGAGCCAGTCTCACTAACTCTGAAACAGCTACCTCCATTGCCCCAGTTAGTGTATCAATCTAGCTCATCTGGAGTCATCTTCTCCTGTGCTTTCCCTCCATCCTTCTGAGCATTATGCTTCTCCAAGAACCAGGCCTTCCGGGCCACATGCCCAAAATATTGAGATGGAGCTTAAAATCCTAGCCTCCAAGGAGAAATTTGGTTTCACCCTCTCCAAACAGACCTACTTGTTTTATTGGTGGTCCTTGGTAATGTTCACGACTCTTCTCTTAACATCACAACTCCAAGGCATCTAATTTTCTTCTATCATGCTTAGGCATTGTCCATCTCTCTGATGCAAGTAATTATGAAGACCATGGCCTAGATCAGGTGCACCTTAGTCTCCGGACTGACATTGATGCTCTTCAGTACTCTAGAGAGGTCTCTGACAACAGACTTTCCCAAAGCAATTTGTCTTTTGGTTTCCTGACTTGTGGTGTCAACACTGTTGATTTTGAAACCAAGCAAGCTGAAGTTATCAACAATCTCAATCTCTTCACCAATCAACATGAAGCTGCTAATTGGCCTGGTGTTGAGTATCTTTGTTTTCTTGACATTGAGCTTCAATTCATATTCAGTGAATACTTAATAAAGGTAACTCTAAGGACATATATTCTTGACAACTATGGGGATTATGGGAATGTTCAGGAAATATGGAAAGGTGATGTTGAATTAGAAATGGTTTCTTAAAAACTGATCTTAATGAACCAATAATTTTCCTCTAGATTTTCTCAGACATTTGAGTAAGTGGTTTAATTTGTTTATAGTATTTTTGTCCTCAAGAGAATGAGGCAAGAGACAGTCTCTGGGGTTTATGTCCCAAGGTTGTGACTACAGGTATAAGAATATATGTATTTCTCATCATCCAAGCTTTCCAGAAGCAGAGAAGTTCTTCCCTTTGCCATTAGCAGGTTTGTTTTGAAGAGTCTACAGATGAAATGGCATTAACTCTACTGAAGGGTATCTAGAAAACAGCTTGAAACGGGAGCTGTGTGGAGACAATCTAGAACATGCTGTAGACCTTTTGCATGGACCATCCGGCACATCAGAATTCCTCAGAAGTAGTGTCTAGATGATAGGAACCTGGGGTGAGGAAATAGCAAAGAGTTTTGGAAATGTTCGTTTTCCTATCTTTTTAAGTTTTTGAAGCAGTTATGAAGGTGGACTATATAGTGCTTATGTAGAATGGGATTTTATGAAGTTATAAAAGTAGATGGTATGAAGTTGTGAAGTTATGAAGGTGGAGTATAGTAAAATAGACGTGAACAAAATGAAATAATAAAAGATTTAATAACAACTTCTGATCAAAAGTTAACCATCATCTCCACAGTTATCTACACAGCTATTATTATGATTATGAAGCATAAAGCAGAGAATACTCAAGTCCTTTAAAATCAATAGAATTTAGGAAATAAATAGAAATTTAGGAAA